CTAGGCTGAGGGACCTCCCCCTCCCCCTCGAGTGCACAAATTTTTGTGCACCGGACCTCTAGTATATTAAATAAATAAAATAAAATAATTGTTGGAGCTACACAAAGTCCCAATGGTTTCCCCAAGTACTCATAGGGCTCAGAGCAAACCTATTAATAGAGATAAAATTAATGGGTAAAGCCTAGAAAACTGAGGCTATTTGTAGCAGAGGGCGGAGGAAAGGAAGAGAGAATTATGTAAATGTTGTATGCACCTTAAATTTAAAAATAGATAACGGTTAAAAATGTTTGGAATCATGTCCAATGTGTGCTGAAATGAAAAGTCCATGTCATTTGTCACCTGAACTGGGTGAGAAGTGACGCTGGCCAGGAGCACACTCCGTGATCACACCTGGGCAACAGGTACAGCCTGGAGCCGTCCCCGGCAGACCAGGGTGGTCACTGTGTGAGGAGGGGTTGAAGGGCCACGCATAGGAGGACAGAGCAGGGCTGGGCCAGAGCTGAGCCCCTGACAGGAGAGGAGGGAGGGCTGTCAGATGAACCCTGACGACCTCTGAGCACACAGCCATGCACCTGCAGTGACCGCTTGGTGGAGGCCTCACCCCTGCCGATGTGAGCAGGGACAGCCATCCCACAGGGCTTGTCCCTGCCCTTCCCTAAAGGACTCCGGTGTGTACAGATGTGACCATCTCGCTCCCCAGGACTCACAGGGGCTTTCAACCCCCCAGGTTGTGTCCTGTGCATGACAGGACCAGGGACCGATGCCTGGTAGTCGGAGCACAGGTGCCTTGGCACTGCCTCAGAGCAGGTGGAGGTGTGGTTCACAACCACAGGGAGAATATTTTACTCTAAAAACACTAGCCACTGACTCGTTTAACTCTTCGGCGTCACAGAGGCATCACTAAGAAAAGAAGTATACAGTCCTGAATCTTCAGGACTTATTTCTCTTCTCATAAGTGGGAAGCACAGAGAACAAAGAGACCCGATGAGAAACAAATCCCTGTGCTGGGTGGTTAGCAGGTGGCGCCACGCATAGCGCTCTGAGGAAGCCCTTCGTTCAGTGGGTCCTGACTCAGCCCTGCTGCTGCCCGCGCTCTCGGGAGCTGCACACAGGCACTGGGCTAGACGGGTGGTGGTGGTGGGGGTGTGGTGCGCGGTTCCACCTGCCTTCTGATGTTGCCAGTAGCAGAGGCATCACGAAGCCCTCCGGCCTTTATTTTTATTCTCAATCAAATGTCTGTAAGAAATAAGTTTCTACTGAGACGCCTTAGTCTTCTTAAGGACTTTTTATAAGATCAGCCTCTTGCCCTGGCTGGTGTGGCTCAGTGGACAGAGCATTGGCCTGCGGACTGAAGGTCCTGGGCTTGATTCCAGCCAAGGGCACATGTCTGGGTTGTGGGCTTGGTCCCCAGTAGGGGGTGTGCAGGAGGCAGCCGATCAATGATTTCCTCTCATCATCGATGTTTCTATCTCTCTCTCCCTCTCCCTTCCTCTCTAAGACGAGCCTCTTGGCATATCTGCCTTGCCTTCAAGGTCATTACCTCTCTGTGAGTAAATGATAATGCCACAGTAATCAATAGCATTAGATTTATCATTATCTCTGTACAAGGAAATGATAAAATGTCATTAGTATCAAGTTGTATTGGAAATAACAAAACTATTCATTATAGTGAGTTGAGCAATGAAAAGCCATTATTTATTCATTTTCCAAAGGAAGTGAGTGTAGGTTTTATAAGCCACACAGGAAAATGCATTTTGTTTTCAAAAATTTTTGTTAAACAATAGAGAAGTTAAAAAAAATTGGTTCTGAATAATTTAATAGTAAACTATTCTATTTTAAATACACACTGATGCTTGTAGGAAAACATGATTGATACCAAAATCAATCATAATAAAACCATGATTAATACTATTATTAGAGAACTAGAGGCCCTGTGCACAAAAATTTGTGCACTGGAGGGGGGTCCCTCAGCCCAGCTTGCCCCCTATCACATACTGGGAACCCCCAGGGCATGTTTCCATTGATTTTTAGAGAATGTGGAAGAGAAAGGGAAAGACAGAGAGAAACATCCAAGTGGGAGTAACACTCTGATTGGTTGTGTCCGGCATGAGCTCTGACCTGGACCCAGGTCAGGGAGGAACCTGCAACCTAGGTACATCCGTTAGCCATAATTGAACCAAGACCCAGCAGTGGGCAGGCCAAGGCGTTATCCACTGAGCAAAACCAGCTAGGACAGGATATGACATTTCTTAACCCTCCAGCAGTGGACCTTCCTTTTTTTCTCCAGGAGTGTGGTAAAAAACCCTAGATTACCTATTTGGATTCTTATTACCCAAGTTACTAAGAATATTACCAGTGGCATATAGGGAGCTAAGCCAATGAGCAGTCAGAAAAGGTGTTTCCTCTGTAGTTCACACCAATTGCCGGTTTGGCCCCTGCCCAGGCCTAACTCCTCTGGCCGAGTCATTAGCTCTGGGCAGGGGACCTCCAGCTCCCTGCGATCGCTGGCTCCACTCCTGCTCCCCACCATCGCTGACTTCCCCCCTGGTCCCCACCATCACGGCTCCACCCATGCCCAGGCCTAACGCTTCTGACCGAGGTGTCAGGCCTGGGCAGGGGACCTCTGAGCTCCGATTGCAGGCTCTGATAGCCAATAGCCGCTGGATGCCTACATATGCAAATTAACCATCTTTGTTAGCGGTTAATTTGCATATCATGCTGGTTAGCCAATGGGAGGTTTAGCAAAGGTACGGTCAATTACCCTGTTTGTCTATTATTAGATAGGATAATTCACCGGATTTCTCCTCCCCCTCCTCCTCCTCCTCCTCCTCCTCCTCCTCCTCCTCCTTCTTCTTCTCCTTCTTCTTCTTCTTCTTGGTATCCAATACTATTCAGTAACCCACAAAAGAAATAATTTTTGAACATTTTTAGTGTATTTAATTTTCACACTTTTACACAAACATTCAATAAACACAAATGGACATACTTTTCTTCACTGGCCATAGAAAGACAGCTGACTGACTATTCCAAAATTAATAACCAAAAATTGATGGAAAATTAGGATAAAGTGTCAGGGCATAACCTAATCCCCAAATTATAGGTTCTAAAGGTTTCTTTTTGAACATTGAGGGGGAAATATCGTCTGTCCACTTTGACATTTGGTATCTAGATGCTGTGTGATTTGGGAGGAGGGAGGAAGGGAGGGACCACCTACCCAGCAGCTGGAGACACACAGAGTTCATTGTCACCCAGAGACCCACCAGGTGAAGTGGGGGAATGGACGTGAGTCCGCCTGCCACCGACAGCTGTGTGAGCACGAAATGAGCTGCTTAACCACCGAACTTTTCTCCTTTGCAAAATGGAGAGATCGTCACAGCGCTGTGGGGAGGGTTAAGGACCGCGTGCAATGGACCAGCACAGGAAAGCCCTCATGTTTTTCTTCTTTTTGAAATCCTCACCCGAGGATATGTTTTTTTTTATTGATTATTGATTATTTTTTGAGAGAGAAAGAGAAACATTGATGTACCAGAGAAATATCATCCAGTTGCTTCCCACATGTGCCCTAACCACAGATCAAACCTGCAACCTAGGTTATATGAGCCACCTGATTGCAATGGTTAGGGCACAGCTGTGGCACTGGAGACCTGAGCCCTGGAGGCCAGCAATTACTTGATTAGCAAGTGGACCACAGGGTGCTTCATGGCTGTGACGAGTGCCAACCTGATATTCATATATAGTATCAGCTGCCTCACAGCCAGGATGAAAGCCAATGTGAAAAGCTGCTGGGAAAAGGCGTGGCAGCAACTAGGCATTATTCCCAAGAGCAACACTCCTATTCGAGGTGGTTTGACATTTGCACCCCCTGATCAAAGATGGGGTCTCTGATGACCGTGGGAGCCTGGGGACTTCAGCTCATGACCTTCACTTCTCTTGACTTGAGAATGACTGTCCCTGTCTAGTCCTGGTGACGTCAAGATGGCTTGCCATCAGCCAGGGCCTCTGTGCAAAATATTGGTCTAGAGACCAGGCACCAGGGACCAACGCCCAGTTCAAGTCCTACTTCTCCTTTGTCATGTGTTGGGAACAAGTTACCTACCTGTCATGATCTCTGCTTTGCTCTTTGGAAAAATGGTTGAAATACCAGTACTTCGCTCCTGGAATTGCTGAAGATGTATATATTAGGGTTCCTCGTATAGAAAACCCGTTCTCTTTATATAACTGTGGATTTATTTTAAAGGACTTAAATTCAAAGTTTCTTTATTAACTAAGAGCCTGCCTAATTCAGACTCAAGGTTTTTCTTAGATGACGATCTTTGCTGGGGCCAAGGAACGTGTGGTGGCCCTATTCTTGTCCCCCGTGAATCCAGGCTCTGTCCCTGCTCTAACACACTGGCTGTGTTTGCCGCCTACTCTGCCCCCCTGAGTATGTGAGCTATGCCGAACCTCCCTCACCTATGACCACGTCTTCACTCTGCTTCTGGATTTTCTCTCCCACAGCATAGTGGAGGCGGTCATCACAGTCCTCGAGGACATTTCTCCCTCAGTCTTCTCTTTCAATAAGAATTCTTAATTGTGCAGACTCAGGATAAAGAGTGACCAAGATGCCTGAACACACACACACACACACACACACACACACACACACACGCGCGCGCGCGCGCGCCTTCATTCATTCATGCTCTGATCATTTAGTTCGGTATAGAACTGAATTCATGGAGTCTTTTCCAAAGTATTAAGGACCCAAGCACTTCTTAAAAATGTAAGATCAACCAAAAAATTTTTTGAAAGTTCAAATAGTACTCTCGTTGATCTTTATAAAATTTTTTGGAAATGAAAGGAAACATTATGTGGAGTTTTCTTTTGTCCTAGTGGATGATTTATGAGCCATTCATTGCCTGGGCCTGACTCTGCCTTTCCCCATTGGGTCTCTGTGGGCGTCACGTGCTATGGACGTCTTTGAAAAGCATCTTCTGAGGCTCCAGCCTCTCACTGGAGTCCCCTGAATCTCGCCGGGAACTGGGCTGCGCTCTCCTCCAGCACAATGAGCAGCAGCTTTGTGGGCGCCTGGAAGCTGGTCTCCAGCGAGCACTTCGATGACTACATGAGAGCGCTGGGTAAGGAAGGCTCTTTTGGAGAAAGCTGTGTGACTGTTGCCTTCTGCCTCCTTTTCCAGGAGGGCGGGGAAGTTTGTACAGGCTGAAGTGCAATCCTCTGCTAGGCTTGATCCTCTCTTGTGTCAGATAATTTGTTTGCATTTCCTTTGTGGCAATTTTAATAGATTTTAACTTACATGAGAGCTGCTTAGATGCACGGAACTCCCACAATTTCCAAAGGCAGTTTCGTATCAATAGGGCTTTGGGTTCAGGACCACAGGAAAAAGTCTTTGATGTTTAGTCAACCCATTCCTTGGCTTTCCTGAATACTGGCTTTGTAACAACTAAAGTGCTCATAATACAAGGAGCTGAAGGAACTGAAGTTAAAATGTTGATGTTTGGCTAAACTATAAGCTTTCTTTCTCTACCTCTAGGTCAGTGATGACGAACCTTTTGAGCTCGGCGTGTCAGCATTTTGAAAAACCCTAACTTAACTCTGGTGCCGTGTCACATATAGAAATTTTTTGATATTTGCAACCATAGTAAAACAAAGACTTATATTTTTGATATTTATTTTATATATTTAAATGCCATTTAACAAAGAAAATGAGTTTGCGTGTCACCTCTGACATGCGTGTCATAGGTTCGCCATCACTGCTCTAGTTGTCCATCATTACATAATCATGTAGATAGAGAGTTTGTAAAAAGAAGATGCATTAAACCAGGATGTTTATAGTCTAGGGAAGTTACTGAGATAAAAAGAATTGGGTTGTGGCAGTGAATTCAAACTCAACTACACTAACATTAGACGTTCCTGGAGTTGGAGCAGTGGATGGAGGTGGAAAACCCAGTCATTAGTTACATCAACTTTATTTGACCCTCTTTCTAGAGACTGTTCCACAGATATGAGCCCAATCGATGGGCAGAGTCTTGGGGACACTTCCAGAGCTGTATCAATCCAATAGACAGTGATGCCAAGGACCAGGTTGCCCTGCTTGCCAAAATGTCTGTGGCTTTATATACTTGTTCAGAAAACTAATGAGAAAGGTTCTTTATAGATAAAATGAGTCAATCCTGTCATGTTGCCTAGAAAACTATGAGACCTTATGGGGATCAATCCATACCGTCAGATTAGTTAGATGCATGGGCTTCACTTTACAGTTGAGGAAGAAGCAAAATATGAGCAAGTCTCAATGAAGGACTCCTGATTCTGTCATTTTCCACTTTTAGAGCACCCAGGAATGCCTGGGGGGTGGCAAAATGTAGATCCTCAGGCTTTCCTGCAGAAATTCAGCTAGAAAAACATTGCTCTAAAGCAATATTATAAGATAATATAAGATTAATCAGAATTAGAAAAAAAGAGTAGAGTTCACCATTCTTTATTAGGTCTAACTGGTCACTTCTTATTAGGTGGACACAGGGATGGGCAAAAGTAGGTTTACAGTGTAGTACAAATAAATAATACAATAATTTTAATAAATAATACAAGAAGGTGCCCCCCCCAAATGTATATACACTGTAACAGCTGATAGCTCAATTTTGAAAATGAAATGTATTTTAATAAACACTGCCTTTATAAATATTCAAAGTGTGTATACATTTTTTGAGGGACTATCTATCTATCTATCTATCTTTCTATCTAAGCATAAGCGACCTTCACAACTGAAACAACTGAATTGGCAGGGGAGGCAGTTGGGGGGGATCAGGCAGGCAGGCAGGTAAGCATATAGGAGCCAGTGGTCCCAGATTGTGAGAGAGATGTTCGACTGCCGGCAGTCAGATATCCCCCAAGGGGTCCCGGATTGGAGAGGGTGCAGGCTGGGCTGAGCTCCCCCCTCACCGTGCACTGGAACTCTAATACACACACACACACACACACACACACACACACACACACACACTAGTTTTCCCTTTATATATTTTAATATATTACTCTCATTTGACATTTCCCTTTTCCATGTATTTGTATAATCTTGAATACTAATAATACTTGAATCTAATTTTGTTTTGTTTTTCAAATGCAGAAAAAATTAATGATTTTATTTACTAATGATCATTTGGAATGGTGCAGGTAGGTCTTGAAGGGAAATGGATTGTTTCTCTACCCACTAGATTTAGGGGCCACAACAAAATTTCAGAAATGAAATTCAATCAAGGATGTGGGGGAATTCTTTTCTATATCCATAGTATGTTACTGCGGGAGAAAAGTCATGGGACAGTGTGCATCTGTCATAGCATCATTCAGAAAACCCTCTACAATCTGTGTGCAAGCTAAAGTGTCTGTACTGGTCCAGACAGAACTACAGTGGGTGATGTCCAGCGGAGGTGCGGGTGGAGGTGGGAGTGATTTTCAATGGAGGTGCAGTTGGATGACTCTGGGCTGAACACTTTCACCTTTCAAATTTGCAGATGTCACCTCTGTAACAAAACCCAAAATATCCAAGTCTGTGACATGCATTTCCATTAGGAGATGAAACATGGGAGGAGGCTCTTAGTTGTGGTTGTCACTACCTGCCGTCTGTCCACCTGAGCCCGGAATGTGGGCCCCACAGACTCTCTAGGTGCTCCCTCTGGGTCCGCATTATTCTAATTCTACCTTGCTTTTCAGGCGTGGGGTTAGCCACCAGAAAACTGGGAAATTTGGCCAAACCCAAAGTGATCATCAGTAAGAAAGGGGATACTATAACCATAAGGACTGAAAGCACCTTTAAAAATACAGAGATCTCTTTCAAGCTTGGCCAGGAATTTGAAGAAACCACAGCTGACAACCGGAAAACAAAGGTAAGCTTCAGTGTTTCTCTGCAAAGTCTCCAGCTTGAGAGAGGATAACTCCGCTAGTGTTGAAAGGGTAGACTACTTCCTTCTGTTGGAAATGAATGTGCTTACTAATGCTTCTTCAATCAACCATTTATGTGAACTTGTCTTTGCAGAGAGTCGTAACCTTGGCCAGAGGCTCACTGAATCAAGTGCAGAAATGGGATGGCAAAGAGACCACAATAAAGAGAAAGCTGGTGGATGGGAAAATGGTCGTGGTAAGAGGGTCTTTACTTCTAAATGCAGAAATGATGCCATTGAAATAAAGAAATTGGTTATAATATTTTCAAAAATATTCTTTTTTTTCTTTAGAACGCCAATGGCTAAGAAGGGCTGAGAGTGAGGCAGAGTTAGTGTTTGGGTGATGCTCAAACTATCAAGAGCTCCAGTTTAAGGCTTGAGAATTTAGAACTAAGAAAGCCTACTTGTTACTTTAGATATAACAACACCTAAAAATGATAGTAAAGTTAAAGAGGGTCTGGATCAATCTCACTAGTTGGGACTCACAAAGAGAAAAGCAAGTCTAAGTTCTACAAGCAAAACAAATCCAAAAGCTCAATTAGTGAATATTTGTGGATATCTAAGTGTTTTCAAGAATCCATAGTAGCTTGGACTAAACCACGTCAAGAATTGAAGCTGAGCTCACAGCAGACCTCGTTAGTCGGCAGATGAAAGGGTGACAACGGTTACATGAGGTGACCTCTGATGATTTTTTGAAGTTTTGGGTTCTGTGCTCACTAATTAGCACATACATTAATTGTAAATAGATTCACATGCTGTTTTGAATGTCTCTTCCTTTAGAACAGAGGTTTTTTGATCCCTGACTGCACAATAGACTTACATGGGGAGTAAGTACCAATATGGGGCCCATCACAGATCACACCACTTGGGGAGGAGGAGCCATCCGTATTTTTAAGTGTTCCTCAGACAAGGCAAATGTGCAGGTAATTTTGAAAACCACTGTTTTAGTAGACTTAAAAGCATGCATATAATTTTATTTATCTATTTATTTTTCCATTCAATACTATTTTGTATTACTTTCAGGTGTTCAGCATAGAGGAAGTTGCCATTTTAAAAGAATTCTTCTGCTGTAGCATAGATCAACTTTAAAACTATTTCTCCTGCTTTAGTGGCCATGATTTTAAATTACTGGAGACTGGCATGCTGATATTTTAAACTTTTCTGAGTTTAATCTCGTGGGATGGTTTTTAATTTCTGTTATCACTAAAAATTTGTTGTCCCCTCATTTGGGCTTTAGGTACCCAGTTCATCTCTCTCTTTTTTAAAGGAATGTAAGATGAAAGGCGTGGTCTGCACCAGAATCTATGAGAAGGTCTGAGAAAATCGATGCCTCGTTGACCTGATATTTGCTCAGCTGTTTCCATGGCAGAGTCTGACTACACTGCAGTTTGCTTGTTCTTGCTTTTATCTTAATAGATCAGACAGGATTAATTTACAATCCAGCATTGTTCGAATATGTTCAATATTCGAATTGCTTGCATATCTTTGCTGTCTTAAAGTGTCTAGATTGCCCTGACCTAAATAGTTGATAATGTCATGTAATTAATCGTAAAATTCTAACTTGCATTTTGCATACCTACAATGATAATAAAAGGAAGCAAACATTCTGGTCAGGGGTAGCTCACACAGATGCCTGCCGGGCGGGAGTGCCGAGGGGGAGGAGCAGAAGTGAGGCAACCCAGAGGAGCAGCTCCAGCCAAGACCAGCCGTCTCTACTCGACTCCAGCCAATTTTTTCAAATTGAGGTTAACTTATAGACAGCGAAATGCACATGTCTTCAGGGTAAAGTTTAACCCACTGCACGCACCCATGTCACTCACATCCTGTTCAAGACATCGTGCATTTCCTTAACCCCAGAATGCTTTCCCATGCCCCTTCCCAGGTCATGTCCTGCCCTGTCCCACCTCCAACAAAAGCAAACGGTGGCTTAGTTTCTATCACCAGAGATTCGTTTTGCCTGTTCTCAAACTTCATGTAAATGGATTCATATATTATGTGTTCTTTTGTTTGCCTTTTAAAACTCAGCATGTTTTTGAAATTCTTCCATATTGTTCCTGCAGCAGTAATGGGTTTCTTTTTATTGCGGAGTAGTATCTCATTGCGTGAATGTATCACAGATTCTTTATCTCTTATTCTCTTAAAACAGTTGGGCTATTTCCAATTTGGGGCTATGATGAGCAAAGCTCCTACAAACATTCTCATACAAGGCTGTTTGTAGACACACGAGTTCCTCTCTTTTGGATGAATTACTAGGCATGAAATTCCTGGGTCCAGTTGGTTTTGACAGGCAGGAATGAGAGAACTCCGTGTTCCAATAATGATGAAGCTATTTCCGATGTATTACATGATTGAGCACATGAGAAGATGTATTAACGTTAGGAGACAGAATTTTCCCTCTGGAAGAAGGAACATGCAGCTATGGAATGAGGGGGAAACAATGTGAAACTGCACTGGGATAGATGGAAATTCACGGTTCCTAAGGCATGTATTTGTATGTTTGTGTACAATGTGACATGCGTATCTGCATGTCCTGATATGCGTATGCACATATGTGTTAATGTGTACGTATACAATAGTTCCCCCTTAGCCTTAAGGGATTCGCTCCCAGACCCCCCGTGGATGTCTGAAACCACAGATAGTACCAAGCCCTATACATACTATGTTGTTTCCCTATACATACAGACCTACGATAAAGTTTAATTTGTAAGTTAGGCACAGTAAGATATAAACACCAAGAGCTAACAAGAAAATAGGACAATTATGACAATATACTCTAATAAACGTTATGTGAGTGTGGTCTCTCTCAAATATCTTGTATTGTCTTCACCTTTTCACTTAAAGGAAGCACTTTAAGGCATGTCCGAATTGCCAGCAGCACTACTCTTGCGTTTTGGGGCCAATATGCAGTAAAACAAAGGTTATTTGAACACAAGCCCTGCGATCTGATAACTCTGACGGCAGCTCAGTGACCACTGGGCACGGAGCGTCTACAGTGTGGAGACGCCGACAGGGGAGTCATCTCCCAGGCTGGGCGGCCAGAATGGCGCGAGATTGCATCATGCTACTCAGCACTGCGCGGACTTAAAAGTTATGACTTGTTTATTTCTGAAATTTTTCATTTAATACTTTTGGACTTGATTTACTGCAGGTAACTAGCTGAAACCACAGAAAGCAAAGCCGAGAATGAGGAGGGACTTACCGGACATGTACACACATGCATGTGTTTCCCAACTACTAGTACGTCTGCCAAAGAGCTGAGAAGCAAAGACACCTCCGCAGGAATGAGTACACCCAGCACCCACACCTTGGTGTCTACACCTCATGCCCCACTAAAATGAAGGAGGGTTCCTTGGAAAAAAGGCCAATCCCAATGGCCTCAGCAGTAGGAACCACCTGAGTCTAAAATATCTTGTTATGACAGAAAGTAAGGACGTGTTCAAATAAATAACGAGGTATGTCACCCAAATATCCCAATCAGCTTGAAGGCACTCCCACTGATTGGCCCAAACTGGGATAATTTGAGAAGTAAAATAATAAAGAAAAATCATAAATTACAAACCATTGGGGAAAAATAAGAATCTGTGAATAACACTGGAGGGAGGGAGAGAAAGAGAGAGAGAAAGGAGAAGGAATTGTCTTCCTTACCATAGAGTGCCATGGGCTCACTGGTAAATGTGGAAGAAGAGTGGGAATTGGAAAATCATCATTTTTCAACCACCACAGTAAATAATGGCTCAGTAAGAATGATCAAAGATGTTGAGGCCAGACGGAAATTCTGGTTAGGAGCAGGATATTGGTTTGCTCCTAAAGTATCTCCACACGGATTGCTCATAGTTACACGGGAAAGAATAGCAGCTGCGCAGCGGGAAAACTGGGTGACCTCCTGACCGGGTAGCTCACATGAACCTTGCCAACAAAGGGCGGGTGCAAAACACATGGCTTCCATGTGACACCCTGAGAAGGAAGTGACATCACTTGCGTAGTATTCTGGCCTGGAACCCATGTCTGGGCCTAATCTGAAGAAACAGCAGACAAACTCCAAATGAGGAATGTTCTGTTAAAAAGGGGGAGGGGTGTTGGTTGAATTCTTTAAAAATCACAGGAGACAAAGAGAGGCTCTGGGGAAATGTCCCACTGGATGTGAACTAAACGTACCTGGCAGCTCCATGCAGTCAGTGCCTCGTGCTGCACCTGTGCAGATAAAACAATACTCCAAGGGGCAATATTAGAGGAACTGGCAAGTTGGAATAAAGATGGCAACTTAGACTAGAAGTTTACTGTGACTACACAACACAATGTCCCTATTCTTGGGAAAATACATTGAAGTAGGTTGGGGTCATGGTCCATAATGTATGCAATTTACTAAAAAATTTCATAAAAAACATTGTGTGCATGTACATCCATTACATACACACCTCCAGAAAGAGAGCAATTGATAGAGCAAATCTAACAATACATGGATATAAGCACAAGCGATTTTTTTTTTTGCCCCAGTCTGATTCTTGAAACTTCTGCAAGTTTAAAATGATTCCCAAGCAAAATTAAAAAAAATAAAAGACCTTCTCTGCCTCTGGAAGTGTCATAACCGAGGTATGCTTTATTTTTTTAAATTTTTTGTCTCCAGCCAAATAAACCCATAAAAAGGAACTTTTCAAAACCAGTGCTATTTCTGGTGTTTTTGGTAATATGGCTTGCTATCAAATGTATTCCTCAGTAAATACAATTGCACTTTTATACAAAAGTCAAGGGTACTTTCTGCTTTCCAAACAGGAAACATGGCACTACACTGATAATGAGAAAGGTAAAATAATTATTTTAGCAGGTGAACAAATGTTGTTGGATCTGAAAAAGATTTTCAAATAACCGGAAAGGTGGGGGTGGGTGGTGACTAGACTTCTGCAGTATTCAAAAATAACATCAGAGAATAATTTTGATTCTCTAGGTCTTTCTTTAAAAGATTTTTAAAATTGATTTTAGTGAGAGAGGAAGGGAGGGGGAGAGAGAAACATCAATGTGATTGACTGCCTCCTAAATGCCCCCTACTGGGGATCAAGCCTGCAACCGGGCATGTGCCTTGACTGAGATCTAACCAGCAACCTTTTTGGTGCTTGAGCTGACACCCAACACTTTGAGCCACACCAGCCAGGGCTCTCTAGGTCTTTTTGATAAATATGTCAGTTAAGAGCAGCCTGACTGCCCAGTTCAAATTCCAGTTTGCTACTGACTAGCTGTGTGTCATTGGATAAGTTAATTAACCTCTCTGACTCTGAGTTCCTTCATCTGTCAAGATGGAGATAATAATAGGACACACCTCAGAGTTGTGATTAATAAGTAAGTTGATATATGGAAAGAGTTTAGAACAGTGCTTGGCCTAGAAGAAGCATGATAGATTATCTTGTGTTATTATCATTTATCTAGTTAACTAGTGGCCTGGTGCATGACATTCGTGCACTGGAGGAGGGGTGTCCCTCAGCCCGGCCTGTACCCTCTTGCAGTCCAGGACCCTCAAGGGGTCCTTAGTGCTGCCAG